AGAAAGAGACCTTCTACAAACGTTAACATGTATGACTGGCACGCGGAACCTTGAATTGGAGTGAATAAATGAAGACTCGGCACACCACTTCGGAAAGGTTGCCGACCTCTGGGCTAGAGACTCAGGAGATTCACAATTAAAGGTTCCATCATCAGCTTTAATGCTACCCACATACCCTCACCCACCCCATCACAGGATGTAGAACCTTGCCGGTTGCTACATGACATTTAAGCCTGACATGTCACGTATACGCATTTTAGTACAGTATATGCTCATTTAGCCAAAACTCTCTTATCTGAAAATAACTATTATCTGAATAAAAACTACAAGGAGTCCTTGTGGCACCTTAGAGACTAACAAAGTACTCCTCCTTGTTTTTGCTGATACAGACTAACACGGCTACCACTCTGAAACCTATTATCTGAATCTCTTCCTTGTCTCCCAAGTATCTTACACTGTGGGAAAATGAAGGGACTGGATAATGCGGAGGTTCAGATAATAGAGCAGAGACCCCCAGTTAGAAGTGCGAGGAGGATGACCAAGCCCCCTGCCGGGTGGGCTCCTGCAGCAGTGCAGAGAGCCCTCTGTGGCCCCACTGACATGGGGCTGTGACAGCCGAGTTGCAGAGATCTCCCTGCACTGCAGCAAGGCCAGTGACACCTGATCCCTGTAAGCACAAGGTGCAGGGAAGGCTGTAGTCCTGGTGGGGAAGAACAGAGTCCTGGCTGGAGGTCTTTGCTCAGTCTCTCACCTTGCGCCTGCAGGGATGGGGTGTTACCAGTCCTGTGGCAACACAGGGAGCCCTCTGCAGTCCTGCTGTGACGGGAGTGAGTGGGGCACAGCAGAGACCCTGGGCTAGAGTTCAGAGGAGTCAGTCATCCTTCCAGGCCACTCCACAGATGAATGGCTCCTGTCCTCTCCATTTAGCTGAATAAAATCCCAGTCCCCCATGCTACTCAACTAATTGGGAGTATCCTGTACTATGGTTTTCAGTTGTACAACAGGCTGAAAGGATGGATACAACTTATGTCGTGTACAAGGGGAAAGGGTGGTGAGTGGATTAAGATCATCTCTTTGGTCCTGAATTAGGAAATGGGCCAACACTAGTAGCGTACAATGTTCAGGACCCAGGCTAAACAAACAGAAAAACAGGAAGTGCACCAACAGGGTCTTGAACTGACCCTCTCAGGAGAGTCATGGGAATTGTTGACTGGCCAGAAGGAACAGGAGGCAGGAGAAAGCTGGCAGTTGTGTCCTGCCTGACGCACAAGGTGACTGCCAAGCAGAACATATGCATATGCCAATAGCGGAGATGGAGTAAAGCAAAGCTGATGCACAGCCATCTTCCTTGGATTGCAGACAGTGTTTCAGGCTAAGAGGTGAAATATTGCCCCATTTTAGCTCTGTGGCTATTCGTTCTTAAACAGAATGATGACACAGAATCAGATATTCACACGTAAGCTGTGCAACTAGCTTTCAAAAGTCCACAATCATGAGGGTAATGACATGGGCAAAGGGTCAGACAAAGGGCAGAAATAATAGTGGTCCTAGAAGTGCATTCTCCTCTCCCCCCCAGTGATGCTGAACATAGCATTGCTACAAGGTTTGTTACTACACAAGGGTCACAGCATATACTTGATCTTTATGCCCACCTCATTGGGAGATCCACTGTGGATCAAGGGGAGTACATGACCCTAACTTTACACACTTGGGTCATGGACAATTAAAAATGTAATTTGGCCTTCTCCAAAAGGAGTTTTATGCCCTCTATCTATAAATAATATTTCAAGTACTCCCAAGTCAACAAGAATGGTACATCAAAGTGACTTGGGCCAAAAATGACTTACCATATATCAGCAAAGACCCAGCTAGGACGGAGAAGTCCAATAAGCTGCTCAGAGGCTTCTAACTAGAAGCCAAGTCATGGACCAGAAGTTAGCTTTGTCTGTGTTACCTGGCCGTGGTGCAAGCTATTATCAAGCATGCAAGAACATGGAGGGGAAGGGAAAAATCAAAGCTGATGGTAAATACTCCTTTTGGGTGTTCACTTATGAACTATACACTCAACACATGCATCACAAAGTCAAAGAGCAAACTCAGCAAGTAACTGGAGATAGTCAAGGTAAAAAACTTGTTTTGGCAGAATTTCAGAGACTGGCCATAGGAATCACACTAACATACTATACAGGGATATGGACAGGTCAGACTCCAAACAGATCTGACTTCAGGTAACAAACAGTATTGGATTTTTACATTTTCTTGGATAAGGGCTAGACCAATACTGCAGTCAGTTACACCAAATTTAAACTCAAAAAGACCAGGACAAAGCCTTTGCAAGATCCTTCCATTTACCTTCTACAAGCCCAAATGAAATTAAAGACTAGCCTTCACATATACTGAAAGAGCAGTAAGACGGCTTCTTGGCACAGCACATTTCAGAGGAAGATGACAAGTTCAACAAGCTAGAGAAACTGTTTATAGAACAAACGCAGAAACAGCGTATGTGTTTAATAGCCCACGAATTGTCACGTTATTCATTACACAAACTAGTGAACTCTTATCCTTTCCTACCCATTTAACCATTAGTAGCAGACAAGCCCAACTGTCTGTCACTGTCAGATGGGGAGCAGAAAGCAAAGTCCATTAGTAGCCCTTGGCTACCAAACAAAGATAGAAACCACACTTCGTTTAGAAAATAAGCAACCCTATTCCTGTGCGACAAGCACTCAAACTAGTTTCCCAAAATATTTAACACAGCTGCCTAAAAATCCGTACTCCTCCCCCCATCCCCCAAAAAAACAACAACTTTCCTTGACAGACTAATTTTGGAGAAAAGCTACTGCACTATTAGAGGCCTAATGTTTCCTTCACTCGCTGCTGCTGACTTTTCACAAAGCTGATAAACACTCATTAAAATATAAATTGCTGTTACCAATGTTAAGTTGATAAACCCTGGGACTGTAATTACCTTTAACCCTCATGCAGAGATTGCCCAACTCGCTTATGTGATGTAACCAACACCCTACATTAAAAATAGTGTTGTGACAACATATGGTTTATTCTACAGACGCTGGCAAGCAGGATGTTTCTAACAAACAGGTTAGAGTCCCAGCTTTTACCACCTACCTGCAAGGTGAAGACAGAAAAACGTGCACTGTACAAGAGCAAAGAAAAAAGGGATTTTTTAATTCATTCTAGAGACATCCTAGTAAAAGATGTCCAGTGTTCCCATTTTTATTTATTTACACAGTAGCTAATAAGCTAGCTGGATGCAATTTGAGGAAACATCTCAACAGCCTTCCTGGAAATTTTGAAGATATCAAAATACAGCCTCAACGACGACAAAGAGAAAGAGAAAAGCTAGCTTCCTTCTCACCTATAGCAATCAACAGTGTGCTCTAGAGCATGGGGAACCCTGGTCTATGGTCAGCGCAAGGCATCTGCCTGCCTGGAAGGAGAAGCCGATAAATCAGAGCTTTTAGCGAGAACAGCAGCAGCGATGATGGGGACAGGAGAAGGAAATTCCCCATTTTACCCAACGGTGTTAAATATTCACCAGTGAGTGAAAGCTGCAGCCTCTTCCTTCCTGGGAAGTGTTTCTCTTGAATGCTCCTACAGGGTGGAAGCTGGGCTCTTTCCAATTGAGGACAATCTGATTCACCCCTTCCTTATCACCCCATGATACGGAAGGATTAACTCCCCCTGAATTGTTGTGGTGCTGAACCCCTCATGACAACATAGATCTCTGCCTCACTGGGGGGGGGGGTGTATGTGTAAAAATTCTGGGTATTTTCAGATTACACAGGTGAAGTTTCAAACTGAGGGGTACAGCCCCCAGCCCAAACGAGGGAGGACAGGGTCTGAAAGTTCACAATATAAAACCCATCATTGGCTCTTGGCAGGGAGCCGAGGATTTGAACCCTTTCTGGATGGAGGTGACCCAAGCCCCACCACCCTGGATTTCTACTACATGGGGGAGAACCTGTCCCAGCAGCCTCCCTCCCCCCAAAACCACCACCAAAGGGGTGTGCAAGGTGCCTCAATAACATTCTCTTTCTACTTGACCCTAGCTAAGCCCTATGCCAGGCCTGACACCAAGCCCAGTGCCCCCTGCCGCTCCTTACAGCATACAAGGGGGATCCAGGCCCCTGGCCAGGGAAGCTGGGGCAGACGCCCCGTGGGCTGGGGGGCACATCCCCACAGAATATATACCCTGGCAGGAATGGGTACCTCCTGGATCCCCCCATCCAGCTCCCCTTAAAGCAGGAAGCACATCAACACAAGCGCAGGACCACGGAAGCAGCCCCTCAATCCCTGGGACTGGGGGGGGGGCACACTCTACCTTCACGTTGGAAGGGCCCTCCCCTGTCCCCCC